GGCTTGAGTTTTTGCGAATAAGTTCCGCCCTCGACCAGAAATGCACAGGTCTCTCACGCTATTGTTATCAACGTAAGCGACAAGAGGTCTTCCCGTCATTGCATCTTTCCAAGCTACCAGTGCGACTACATATGCCAAAAGTTCTGCTTCGAAAATGATGGTCTTCTTGTCATCAAGTCCTAGTTTCCGCATAAGTGTAACACTCAAGAAACATAAAAAAAAATGGCAGTGCCTTACCTTCGCAGTCATACAGGATTCCTCCTATGCCGCAACACGGTTTGTTCTCGGTCCTGTCAAATGCCGCATCGGTGAAGAGATACACTGGTTTCTGGCAAGGCCTTGCCAGGATTCGTGGCTTGCACACCTCAAGAATGTTGGCATACATCAGCATGGCATCTTTGCAGGCCGGACCGATTTCATCTCGGCCATTAACGATATGTTCGGTGACAGCCTGTAAACACAAGCGACTCGCTCGACCGAAAATCTGGTTGTCCGCGAACTGCATGCGACCCCGGAGCTTCTGTGCTGCACTGATTGACATAACTCCCTGGCCTGCTGTTTTTCTCAAGATCTCCTGCAACTCACTTTTCCGGGTCGATGTGTTGTCCACCTCGACTCTTCCGCTGCAGTAAGGTCGCAAGTCGAAGACAACCCCTAGACAAGAAAACGTTTTTCCAAACTTTTCCGCTTTGCTACCATCCTCGGCGAACCGCCAGCCTAACAACCTAAAAAGTCGCGGCACAAACTCTTCCAGGGCTTGGACGTCGTCATCGGGACAGATGATCGGAAAGTCATCATAATAATTTGCCCATAAGAAACCAAGTGCACAGCCTACATACCAGATGCTATGAGAGACTCTTAAGAACGAGTAGACGGAGCGCGCGGCCCCGAAAGGCAATGCCAGCGTCTGGTATATCACCGGGTCGCCCGACTCGGGGTCGGGGAAGGTAACGAACGAGGCATCAAGGGCGCCCTCACTCAATCCAAGCTGCCTGTATGCCGCCTTCAAGTCATAGCATCTGCCGCTCATGGGTCTCCGGGGCATGCACTCTTGGCACTTCATGCACAACGCTGACACGACCTCTACTCCATGTGGCTTCGGCGACTCGGACGTCTGCACTGCATCGTTCACGGTGCTAGCACTAAGATCGTCCACCAACCTGACCTTTCTGCTGTCTCCTACACCTTGCTCAAGGCCAAACCTTTTACTGACCAAAGAACTATGCTTAAGTTGATCTTTCCCAACGGGACCCCTAAGCCAACCCTCTGCGACTTCCTTCATCGATTTGTCCCGGACCTCCTTATCTAGGTGGCCCTGCGATTTCAGGTTGCCAAGCACCTTCTCGCGGCTCGCCACAGCCCTCGCCTTGACCTGCTCAGGAGTAGCGACTGCGGGCTTGAACGACTGATCAAACACTCCTGTCAGCGGCACCTGACCCAGAAGTTCGGTGCCACGCGCTACTTCCTCCACTACACCTAAGTCCTCATACCCAAGGGATTCAAGCACTTCCCTCCACACCAGTAGACCTTTGCCGCCTAAGATATTTTTCAAGTGCTCCGGCAAATGATTTTTCAACTCTTCCTCTTGGGGGCGTAACTCTTCCGCCCTGCGCTCCCACTTCCTGAACCATTCTTCCCGGAAAGCCTTCAGTTCCTCTTTGCTGTGCGACTTATTCAACTCCACAGCTTTTTCAAGGGGTTGCGGGAGATTGACGGGCACCAGTTTTGGATGCCCTGACTTGACGGCCTCACGCACGAATGCTTCGGGCTTGAAGGGAATGCCCCATGCTATTTCACAACGGTTCCGCAACTCTTCAGCCTGCTCTTTCCCCTTATTGGCCGTGAGGGGGGAGACCCGCAGAAGCTGAGCCTCGGCAGGGATAACACGCAAAGTGCAGGAACATTCCAAGGGAACAGTCCATGGCGTTTTGATGCGTTGCATGGCCTCACAGGGCAGGGAGACTGACGACGGTCCGGTCATAACGATAACCTGCGCATGTTCGGGGACTAAAGGAGGAAATCGTGAGGCTTTGGGCTGGTTCCCGATCACAGCCTGGCATGCTGTTTGCAAGGAGTGGGGTTGTTGCAAGCGGGTTTCCGGGTTCCAACCAAGACTGCAAGCATGGCATGCGAGTGCGTGGGCAATGGAAGCAGCTAGCTTGGGCGGGTAGGCAGTCTCCTGATCAGCGGCATGTTGTGCCGCACAGGCTTTACCTGGGCAGTCTTTTGCCAAGGATGCGAAGCACGGTGACGTGCTGACAATGGTAGTTCGCTTTGGCTGGGAGCCACCGAAAGCACATTGGTCAAGGCTGACAGTGTGTGCACAAAGATGCTGAATGCGACGGAAGGCAGATGTGTTCCAATAGGAACTGCGCCGAGGGTTTTCAATGGCGCAGAGAACACGTCGGCGCTGACACTCCTCAACAACATCGCTCAGGAATTCATACAAGGCGTCATGCGAGGATGCATCACAGGGTGGCGAAGCGAAGACGGCCACCAGCAGAGGGCTCTGCAGCCAGAAGCGACAGAGCTCGCGACCTTCAGGTGTCAACAGGTCGGCTAGAAGTGGCAAGGCGGCAGCCTGAGAGTGCACACAGTGGTCCACTGCATGCGCAGCGGTTACTCCAAGCTTCCGAAGGCAGGCCGTAACACGCCCCGTGCCTGAGAACAGCTCGAAGATCACGGGACATGTGGGGATTAAACCAGATTCGAGGCTAGGCTGAGGGGGAGGTTTTAGGGTATGACAAATAAAATCCCCCGTGGCCAACTGCGGTATCTGGAAGCCGAGACTTGTCAGCTCAGCACGCATGGCCTGACCAAAAACATCGTATCCCTTGACAGTGAAACCTGCAAGAACAACTCGGTGACCCGTCCATGGGCAGGTAGCATGTCTTGCATGAGCATCGAAAAACGCACAAGTGCGTGAGACTGGAAGCAGCTCACCGCAGCCGGGATAGGCTGGATCAGGGCAGACCTGAGAACCTGAGGACGATTCGACCCAGAGCTCTCCATGATCAAAGCCAGGCAAACCGATTAGAAAATTGTCTACACCCGCTGCATTGTTCCGATCGGCATGCAGGGGCGCTTGCACATCTGCGAAGAGCATGAGACTAGTAAAAGGGTGATCCTGCACCCACTGCTTGGCATATGAAGCCAGCATCTGGGTCACAAGGGGAAAAGACCGCATATTTGTGCGTAAAGCGTGGACTCCACCATGCACAGTTGCACCTGTGCCCCAGACGAAGCCGTCCGGGGGATAGCCTGGGCGATTCTGAGGATCAGAATCTAACAAAGTGGTGAGCTTCACCACTTGGTCTGCAGTAATTGAAGATTGGGCCAAACAAACCTCAGCAAATGCTTCTGCCGGATGTGTGTTGTTGGCCTGATGAAGAGTATTAAGCACGACGTCTCCTGTGCAGGTACTGGCACAGTCATTGACAGCTGACGGCGGGTGATTTTGCTCTGGAGGTTGTCACTGCGGGCATTTGGTGATCGGGTGATCACCCTCACACTTGGCACATACATGCTCTCTTGTGCAAGCACTGCCGAGCTTACAACCTTCCAAGTTAAAACCATAACACACTTGCAAACCCTTGGATGTATAAGCCTTACCACCGGCATCCTTGATTCGCTTGGGAATTGCCACATTGTGCTGCTGGGGAGGTGGCGCGACGCCAGTGCCTTTGCCTCGGCCCCCTTTGCCTTTGCCATTGCCTTTCCACGTCTTGCCTTTACCCGTGTATGGGATTCGCGGCGGGCTGTAGTCCCGCTTGTGCTTGTTACCGACCGGTAACGGCAGCAGCAATGCAGAGACCTGGTATGAATCCAATGCATCATGCAAGTGTGTGTCCATGTCGCGCGTCCCATCAGTTTGCTGGCGGGGTCGAGTACCCCGCTCGACCATATGCACCCACACCATCTTGTCCGCATCCTGTAGCTGTGTGAGGCTGACTCGACTGTGATTTGGAGGAGCCGGGCGCCGGAAGTTCATAAGCAATTTGGCAACATACTTCTCATAGGCACTTAGTGATACGCAACGCGCCATGTTGTATGCATACCCTCGCCTCTTCAAGGCCTCAAGAAAAGCCAACGCTCCGTGGGCGGGCTGCTCAGGAGTGTCGGTAACCTCCTTGACATTGATTTTGCCTGACTCGACTTCAAGCACTTTACTCGGCTGCCGGTGGTTCAGCACCTCATGCTGTCTACTCACGCATTTCTCAACTGGAATATGCCTTAGGACATTTTCTCGTTCCTGTGCGCTAGTGAGCTCCAACAGGCTGTGGCCTGGCTCCGAAGTTGGGTCAAGAAAAAGTCCGGGATTGGCATCTTTAAAAAGCTTTACTCGCTGATCACGCTCGGCTTCCGGAAGCTTCTGTCGACTATTGGCATCGGGATCCACAATGCTTTGCCGCAGCTGTGCTATGAGCATTGTTTGGGCCTCAAAATGAAGACGTTTGAAACTCAGAACCTCACCAACACTCAGGCCAGTCAAGTTTGCATCGACCCATTCTTTGATTTGGGAGTCCTGAATATCCTGCCCTGGCACTCCGACTGCGTGGGCGACCTGGCCCAGGGTTTTCACACCGATGCCTGCCAGCTTCGTAATGGACTCGGAGGTTATGCCATATGCCTTGCATCGCTGCTCGAAGTGGGCAGTGGAGTCAAGGTAAGCGGACATGGTTCAGAAAGAAAGCTACGTAGGTTTGACGAAGTACGAATCATGATCCATCAAAGAACACATGTAGTGCAATTGAGGGTTTCTGGGAAGCTTCAGGTGTTTCTCTGATTTGTGTCAGTCGACATGTCTGAACCATCTTTGCCAAAACTTGCGCATGCACAAACAACTCAAACCTCATTCACGATACACGTCAAGCTACCTGCACATGTTCAGCTCCACAGATGACACGCTTCCCTCAGGCATCGCACGGACACCATATTTTCACTTCCCCTTGGAAGGACTCACTAGCCCCGAGGCTACATCCTGTGCTGCAGTTCGCAGCCTACTTGTCGGCTTTCCGACATGTCTGGCAAAATGCCGTTGCTTCTCGTGAGCCTTGGAGCTTCTCAAAATTCTGGGACCCTGAGCGCCCGCAAGAGAAGACCATTGTTCCTCCCTCCGAGGTGAAGACGATCCTGTGTGCGATGCGAGACTTCACATGCACAGCAACTTCGTGACGCGGCCACGCCACGTCCAGCCTTGGTACCTTGGTAGGCATTCTGGGGGGGACTTCTCCCGAATCACTGGATGCAGAGCTGGAGCTCTCACTGGAAGATGATGAATCAGAGTCAGAGTCTACACAGACTGGACCAGGTGGGTCGGCAATGGGGCCCGCTACAGCAGCGACTTCAGTTTTCACGTCTGAGCCTGAGTGACGAAGGGCCTGATCCTGCTCATGCAGCGTCGGTGCATTCGACTCAAGAGCTTGTGACCTCAAGGGAAAATACTCTGACCGGGCAGCATCAGGTGCGAAGCGCTTCGCTGCCACTTCCAATAACATGCGTTGCAGCTCCCGCGCGGGGGCCGTGGCAAGATCCATAGCATACAAGGCTCGTGAGCTGACGGTCGCTGAAGTGTGGCGGCCCAACACCGCACAAACATCGTCACACAATCCAAACTTCGCCGCCCAAGAGAGAAGGGTTCGTTTCAGCGAATGCGATGACACACATGATAACCTGTCTTTGCTTGACACTGGCAGAAGAATCTTCCTGAGGAAAGATGTGATCTCATGTGACCTGATTTCACGCAGGCAAAGGGTGTCGCCATATGAGTTGGCGGGTGCCCTCAGGATGGGCCCCTTCAACTCACCCTCTAGCTTCAAGCCTGCATCTTCCAAACACTCCTGAGCTGCATTCAGCCACGTCTGTCCGTGCACCCCGATGGCCGGTATGAGAACCGGCAACAACTCTCTGCAACGCGCCTGTGCACGGCGCGTCTTGTGCTGACCCAGCTCAATGATGAGAAATCCTCCCGCCGGTGAGTGGTCATGCGTGACATTCTGAACATCCGCCAGGTCAGAATGCCTGGCTCTTGCATATAAGGCTAAGAGTATGTATGCCACCATCGCAAGGTCGTATTTGTGCAGCTCGCGTTGCTCCAACAGCCGGTGCAGGAACAGGATCTCACTCACCGTGAGGGGCAATGCTTGCTTAATCCAACCCTTGCCGGTGCGCATCTGTTCAGTGATTCCGCTGACACGTCTACTTTTGAGGATGTGCGTAAGGTCCAGACCCAACACATGGTGTAAGAACCGAAACATGGATACACAGTCGGCTCCTCGCGACGGGGGCGAGCCTGAATGCCTCAGGTGGCTGAGATACCTCCACACGGTGGCCTCGTGTAGGTAACAGCCGCTCTGAACACACGACTCCATACACCACTTCAAGTAATTCGCAAGGTTGCCTACACGCTTGTTTAATGTGAGAGGACTCCTCACCCCGATTGCCGCTTCCAGCGACTCAGCGTCGACCTGCCCTTGGTGCAGAAGCTCCGGGGGAACAAAGGCGTTACCCACTAGCTCTAAGTTGATGGCCAACTTGTGGATTCCAACCTGAAGCAACTCCTCACGGCGTTCAAGATATCCCACATCTTTAACAACCTTCACAACTAGCTTAAAGATTGGCTCGGACGGCGAGGGCAGTTTGGCTGCTGGCGAAAGACTCGGTGCAATCACAACGGGGGGGGGCTCCGGCATGCTACGTCTTGGCATCCCTTTCAAGCTTGGCAAGCTCGGCAAGTTATCGGCAAAGATGCTCTTCATGGGACCTCGCTCCCACGGAAGCTGAAATCCTCGTGGTGGCACTGGGTGCCGTACAAGCTCGTTCATGACCTGCTCTTGTACAAAGACAGGATCGGCCTCACGACTGCATGCCGACACCTGTTCGGTCACTTCGCTCATGCATTCCTCACTACCTACAAGACTGTGGAGCGCCCTGTCAAGAGCAGCCTCAGCTTCTGCATCAGCGGAAAGGTTTCGCAAGGCCTCACTAAACCCATTGTCATATTCTCGATAATACTCTAGCTCCTCTTGCTCATCGAAGTCATAATTTGCCAAATGCTCTTCCCGGACCGGCTCGGCCGGCTGAGAAGGTACATCGCCCGGCAGCTCCTCGCCAGGGCCCTGGGCATCCTCCAAAGAGGCTGGAATGCTTTCGGAAGCGACCGGAAGCTGCGGTTCTCCATCTTCCAAAGCAATGGGACCCACACTCAACGGTCCCTTCTCCAACAACACCCCTGCAACTCCTGAAGCCAACCCCACATTGTTCGAGGAAAGTGCGGGATCTGAGGAGGCGGAGACGTCGGGTGCGGCCATCCCTGGGTGGCAGCAGCACAAAGCAACTGAGGCAGGACTTGGGTATTCACAAACCAAGATGTCTGCAGAAGCAGCAAGCGCTCCTGGCAGGGCAGAAAGGCCCAAACGGTTGCAGTTACTGCAGAATCGTCAAAGAGGTCTTCGAAGCACGCAAGCACTACACTAGAAGAGCCCGAGGCGGGGCTGGCAGACTCAAGCGGCCTGTGCAAGCGGAACTCTAAAGCTGTAACTCGAAGTTGCAAAGAGGAGATCTGATCCTGCAGGATATCCTCGACAGCCCGCAGGGAGCTGGGGTGCACCACCGACGAACCCGCACTGGTGGCGGAGGTATGGCTCATACAAGGAGGCTGCACCTCGTGATAGCACCCGGAGCCTGCTAGAATGTCTAGGAGCTTAGAAGGCCTCGAATGAAAATTTTTCTTTTTGAGCCGCTGTGGCTCTCACTTGAGCAAAAATTTTTCTTTTTGAGCCGCTGTGGCTCTCACTGCACGGAGATGTATTCTGCTGCACCAAGTCTCATCAGAAACGAAACTCCCCCGAGTTTCTCAAATCAAGAATTTTAAAACGCTATCAACAAGTTGACCGCCAGCATACCTCGATCAAATATCTCCACTCCAAATCATATAAAGAATTGTCGACCACATATGTTGGTCCGATTCGAATATATACAGATGATAAGAAATTGATGCAGAGCGCACACACTTGTTTTCACGGCACAGCCGAGAGTCATGGGGAGTTTTCACGGAAAACACAAGTGCACAACGTGTGCACCGGGCACTAAGAGTGCCCCTCCACCTAAGTCGAGGCACCAGGCGTGCCAACAGATCCAGTCGCACTTTGGAGTGCAACGTGACCACCAATCTCCCCCTCTCGACTATGCGTTACGTTGCAACAAGCGCCTCACCAGTGACAAAGCAAGTCGGCGCATCACGATCAAAAGGCCCGAGGAATGCCAGCTCGTCCCATCTGCCTCGTGAAGGTGGGTCTGCGATGTTACTCTGACTCGGGACACGATGAAACCAGGGCAAACACGGCCGTGCTTCATCGGCAGCCTCCAGGTGGAGGAGCAGGCTTCTCCACGATGCATCGATCGAGTTCGAGTTGATGCAAGCACTCAGCACACCCGAATGGTCAACGAAAAATATGCATCTTTCGCCGTCAATGTAACTCGACCACAAGATCCTCGCGAGCACCACCGCGTAAAGCTCGACCTGCCCTATAATGTGTTTCCTACCTGGTCCTACCTTCGGCCCATTGCCTGACGAGCTTGGTTGGAACCCTGCAGCCGAAAGCCCTAGCTACCCCCTTGCCGGGAACAAAGAGTACCCCTCCAACACCTGTGGTGAAGCCGCCTTCATGCGCCATCTGTGAAGAGAAGGACTGGATTCGAGGGCGGGCTCGTAGCAATGGCTCGCGGCCTGCTCGCAAGAAGTCTCGCCCTCAAGACAGCCAAGGCGTTCGATTGCGAATCGGTCAACTGCAAGACACCACCTTTGTCACCAAGGAGCCTGAGGTCAGCCAGGGCCAAACGCCCAGCGCGGCCGAGCAGCTGAGCATCTGCAAAGCGAAGTTTGCCAAGAAGGGAGGGCAACTCCCTCGTGTCTACCTGGCCCTGTTCAAGGATGCGGCCTATGGACTCCTCAAGCATGGTAGCCCGTTCAGGCTTGTTCGATACGAAGATGCGCCCCATGTCGGGATCCGACGTATCGAGCACAACACCCAAAGTTTCTGCAGTGCAAGAGAACGGCTTCTCTTTCTCGGACAAGGAGAAGCCGAACAAGTCCATGAGGGCATGAACTGCATTGTCCGTCCCGCCCGACAAGAACGAGGGTGTCATGGCCGGGAAATCGTCGTAGTAGCAAGTCACAGCTACCCTCAAATCCCAAAGAACCCTTTGCAGAAACAATGCCACCCGGTTAAACTGCATAACTGAAGCCGAAGCCCCGAAAGGAAGAGTGTTGCACACAAAGGCTTTCGCAGCGCGGGAGCCGGGCTCCCTGAGCAGGATAATGGATTTCGGCCTCTCACCTGGGTGCAATGCAAGTTGCTGGTACGCTGCCTGAAGGTCATAAGTCTTGCATTGAGGACGGACGCGGTCAGGGTCCTTCCACGCAGAATGGAGAGGCCCCTTGAGTCTCTCACCCGAACTGAGCTCCAGATGACGAGGTGCATCTTCATTGTAAGCCAGGCTCAAGGGCTTCGAACTGAGATTCAAAAGCTGTCACACGCTTTCGTTTCGTAGTGGGTTCCAGAGCCTTCAAATTCTCCAAAGTGTCGTGCCCCAAAGACAATCTGATCAAACACTCAAAGTACTTCACCTGTGCATCATGCCGAACATGCTCAAGGCCAAGAGCCAACAATTCCTGACGATGCTCCTCGACTGCGACCATTGCCTGAAGATAGTCTCTCGAGACCATCGGATGCGATGTCTTGAAGTACCATGTGCACCCTGGCCCTGGCCGACCCCCGTCATCAGGGGCAAGGTCAACATCCTGTTCAGGCATGGCCAACTGGAGAGTGAGCGGCCGACCTCGTTTCGCCCTGGGGTGAAGGAGAGCTACCCACTCGAGCCTCGTCCACTCAGCTCTGTTGTCCAGCAATCGCAATTGCAGGACGGAAATTGGATTTGTGAGGGCAACTCGAGACTTAACCCAGTGCATCCCTTCCAGTGACAGAGCCCAACCTGCACCACTAAATTCAAGCCACCCCCGCTCAGTCATCTGCTTCAGGACCCCATCTGCAGCACCTGCCTGTTTCCTTTTAGAACGTCTGGGAGGAGGCAGAGAAAAGACCCGACCGGACTCTGGAGTTGCATCTGCACACATGAGATCTGTGACAACTTTGTCCATAGCTTCCTGACTAAAGCCTGGCAGCAATTGGCCCTGCCAAGTGAAGTGCACATCAGAAGCATCCTGGAACCGGAAGACTTTATATCGGAATAGAGCCTCATTTACAAGCGCTGTGGCCCTTGTAAGGGACTCGCCGGAGCCACGAGGAACACCTGTCGTGCCCAAGACTCTTTCTGACTCAGTGGCACCTACATCCGACAAAGGATACAACGTGACCGCCAAATCTGCTGCTTGCAAGGACGTCATGCACGCTCCCTTGACCTGCTTCAAAAGGCTAGGTCTCCAATGCTGAACCTTGAACAAGACACAACGATGATCCCTGTCGGCTTCCAATGTCAAATCCTGAGAAACACACTGCTGCAAGGATGACCCCGCAGGGGTCTCGGCACTTGGGTCAGGTTCAAAACAAGCAATCTCTCCAGAACCGTCCATGACTGCATCCACACCCGGCGCTGCTGACACGGCCGTGCACATTTCACGAAATGGAAACTCACTTCCCGCCCCCACGGCACCGGCAGCAAGAGGAAGCACAGCAGCACAGTACGAAGCACTATTTGATTTGTAAGAGCAGACTGCACGGAAGTGTTCCAAAGCCAAATGCCGTTGGAGCTCGTTGGAAGCTGCATCATGCAGCGGCAGCTTGTTCTGACTGCGGGTCTTTTGGCATGGGCCCAGGAGAACATCTTCCCACTCTGTGTATTGCGAAGCTGCATCCAGTCTGAACATCACTCGATCAGCAAGCCAAAAGATCTCATGGCATGTTTTCTTTGCTCATCAGGAAGATCTTGCAACTTCAAGACAGCAGGAGACTTTTGAAGACCAAGATGGGTCAACACAAAGAACGGCAGCCTGACCTTGTTGAAACTATTCGCCAACTGCAACAAAATTTCAGGTTGCTTCTGCACTTCAAGAGAACTGGCAGGCGAAGAGCACTAGACACATAAGCACCGGAATGATTAGCTGCTCGATCAGTAGCTCGTTTCACGACAGCATGACGACCCTCGATGCTTCTCTCCAACAACGGAAGGAAGGCCAAGCGTGCAATCTGTGAGCACCAAGCAAGGCAACATGCATCATTTCTGGAAGCTCCCTGAGCAAAACACAAAATCGAACTCCGGATGCGACCGCTCTCAGACAAGAAAGACTTGCAAAGCACATGGGCCTCTTCTTTGTGAAGCCCAGGAACCTGGAGCGGAAAGCTGATTCTGGCCAGGAGAGGCTCAGGCTGTGGGCAGGGTGGGTGAGGCCCGGGCGGATCTCAAAGTAGCGTTCGAAAGCTTCCTCCGGCTTCCGAAACGGCCTGATGGATGTTGCAAAAGCGCTGCAACAGCACTCTGCAATGCATGCTGTGATAAGCTGCCGAGAAAGTTTACAAGCAAAAAATTCTGGTCTGAAGCTGCTGTAGATGCAGGTTGACTCGTTTGGATCCTTCTTTTCTTTCGTTGCCGGGAGAGCAAACTTGTGCACACGATACATGGCCACACAGAAGCTTCTGATCTTCTTTGACAAAGGGGGGCTTAAGGAGGGGCTTTAAGGGGGGCTTTAAAGGGGCTTTAAGGGAGCAAAAGGGGGGCTTTGACAAAGAGGCTTTGAAGGAGGCCTTAAAAGGGCTTTAAGGGGGTTTTGAAGGGGGGCTTTAAGGGGCTTTGAAGGGGCTTTGAAGGGGGGCTTTAAGGGGCTTTGAAGGGGGCTTTAAAGGGGAGCTTTAAGGGGCTTTGAAGGAGGCTTTAAAGGGGGCTTTAAGGGGGTTTAAGGGAGGGCTTTGAAGGGGGCTTGAAGGGGGCTTTGAAGGGGGCTTGAAAGGGGGGGATGAAGAAGGGGTTTTGAAGCTTTCAAAGTATAGGTGCTGCATTGTATTTTTTTCGCAAAACACACCAAAAAGCGATTTCGTGAAGTTTGCTTTTCTCATTTTATTTCTTCGCAAAAACCCCCCATCAAACGATTTCGTGTGGCTTCTTCTTCTTCTTGTTTTGTGTGTGTGTAATTGCGTGGGGGCTTGTAATTGTGTTTTATTTTATTAAGTTTGCTTTTCTTATTTTATTTTCTTTGCAAAAACCACCCATAAAACGATTTCGTGTGGCTTCTTCTTCTTCTTGTTTTGTGTGTGTGTGTGTGTGATTGCGTGGGGTGAGCCGATACACCCACAAGGAA